GTAGGCAGATATACTGGAGGGGAAGTTACAGGCCGACCAGGAAGTAGGCAGATATACTTGAGGGAAACAGTTACCGGCTGACCAGGAAGTAGGCAGATATACTGGAGGGGAACGGCTAAAGGCAGACTAGGAAGTAGGCAGATATACTAGAGGGGAAAGGTTAAAGGCAGACTAGGAAGTAGGCAAACAAACTGGAGGGGAACAGTTAAAGGCAGACCAGGAAGTAGGCAGATATACTGGAGGGGAACCGTTAAAGGCAGACCATGAAGTAGGCAGATATACTGGAGGGGAACGGTTAAAGGCAGACCAGGAAGTCGGCAGATATACTGGAGGGGAACGGTTAAGGGCAGATTAGGAAGTAGGCAGATATACTAGAGGAGAAGGGTTAAAGGCAGACTAGGAAGTAGGCAGACATACTGGAGGGGAACAGTTAAAGGCAGACCAGGAAGTAGGCAGATTTACTGGAGGGGAACGGTTAAAGGCAGACCATGAAGTAGGCAGATATACTGGAGGGGAACCGTTAAAGGCAGACCAGGAAGTAGGCAGATATACTTGAGGGAAACAGTTACAGGCAGACCAGGAAGTAGGCAGATATACTAGAGGGAAACAGAGGCAGACCAGAAAGTAGGCAGATATACTGGAGGGGAACGGTTAAAGGCAGACTAGGAAGTAGGCAGATATACTGGAGGGGAACGGTTAAAGGCAGATCAGGAAGTAGGCAGATATACTTGAGGGAGACAGTTACAGGCAGACCAGGAAGTAGGCAGATATACTAGAGGGAAACAGTTGAAGGCAGACCAGAAAGTAGGCAGATATACTGGAGGGGAACGGTTAAAGACAGACCAGGAAGTAGGCAGATATACTAGAGGGGAACGGTTAAAGGCAGACCAGGAAGTATGCAGATATACTGGAGAGACTTTCAGGCCTGCAAGCGAGTCTGTGCAACACTTCTGCTTCTGTTTAAAACCTGCTGGACAACGCTTGTACTTCTGACACCGTCACTGCCGCCGACTGATCTATAAGACTGCTGGACTACCACTATATGCCCTAAACAAGGCGTGAAAATCGAGAGAGAAAAAAGGACCCTTTAATTGTTTAATTTCAGGCTAGTCACGGGATACTGACTGTTCTCGTTCCCACGAGACAAGTCTGTAGCTTCGAGATAGAATGCGTCTGTCTGTCTAACGGGTAAATGTCTGACTGTCTGAGCCGAGTAGATGGATCGGTTGGGGCCAGGCACGGGGCGTTGAATGTTGGGGTGGGATTAAATGGGTTACGGAGCACTAGTGTGTACTTTGGTAGGGTAAATAGTCATGCGCACACGTCCTGTTACAGAACGCATGAACAAACGGACCGTATTTTCAAAGGGTTAAGAACTAGGCGCATAGGTCCGTCTTACATTCTGCCCTCACTCCTTACAAACACTATTCCATTCATAAATGTTGTAACTGTTAAAGAAACAAAGTTAAGACATGAGTAGAAGAAAAGTACAGGAAGCACGTTGTTTTAATTAGGAGGAATAAAGACAGAAGCAACACATGGAGATTGCAATGGTAAAGAGTGTTTCCTCCCTCCCCCACTATCTATCTATCTACCTACCTATCTATCTATCTATCTATCTATCTATCTATCTATCTATCTATCTATCTATCTATCTATCTATCTATCTATCTATCTATCTATCTATCTATCTATCTATCTGTCTGTCTGTCTGTCTGTCTGTCTGTCTGTCTGTCTGTCTATCTATCTGTCTGTCTGTCTCTCCGTCTGTCTTGGTTTTGTGTATGTGTTGTGTCTGTGTGTATGCGTTCTATCTGTGATTGGGTGTATGCCTGTTTATGGTCTTTGTGTGTATATAGGTGTGTGTGCTTGTGTTTGTCTGAAATGTGTATATTTTTTTTTTTTTGGCACGCATATATAAAAGTGTACATTTATCATCCATGCTTTTATATTATTACTTCTCATTCATACTATGAATTCTGATATATGAACATAACATGCTTGAGACTTCAAATACGACTGCCGTATAAAAGGTGAATGCTTGGAAGGGCTGAATGTAAGATGGCCTGCGTGCCCAATTTGTAACCCTTTGGAAATAAAGTTTGTTCATTGGTTTGTTCATTGTCTCTCTCTCAGACACACACACGCGCATACACATGCACACGCACATATACACGCACACACACATATACACGCGCACACACACAAACACGGGCAACCAGCCTGAAGATATACCTCAACACTAGCAGTTTGTCCCCAGGTACTCTAGTACACACACATACACACAAACACAGGCAACCAGCCTGAAGATATACCTCAACACTAGCAGTTTGTCCCCAGGTACTCTAGTACACACACATACACACAAACACAAGCAACCAGCCTGAAGGTATACCTCAACACTAGCAGTTTGTCCCCAGGTATTCTAGTACACACACATACACACATACACAGGCAACCAGCCTTAAGGTATACCTCAACACTAGCAGTTTGTCCCCAGGTATTCTAGTACACACACATACACACAAACACAAGCAACCAGCCTGAAGGTATACCTCAACACTAGCAGTTTGTCCCCAGGTATTCTAGTACACACACATACACAGGCAACCAGCCTTAAGGTATACCTCAACACTAGCAGTTTGTCCTCAGGTATTCTAGTACACACACATACACACAAACACAAGCAACCAGCCTGAAGGTATACCTCAACACTAGCAGTTTGTCCCCAGGTATTCTAGTACACACACATACACACAAACACAAGCAACCAACCTTAAGGTATACTTCAACACTAGCAGTTTGTCCCCAGGTACTCTAGTACACACACATACACACAAACACAAGCAATCAGCCTGAAGGTATACCTCAACACTAGCAGTTTGTCCCCAGGTACTCTAGTACACAAACAGAACACAATTACTATCTGTGACATGCACACAACACAGAAAGGCGCCAAAACTGGCCTTCTTTCACAAGCACAAACGTGCACAGCAAAACGCCATCTTTTGCTGTCTATATTAGTACAAAGTACACAGAAAGACAGGTAACTCATACAACAGAAATGTGCGAACAATAGCTCGCAATCCAAAACTGGCCCACTGAGCAATCGTTACTGGCCCGCGAGACTGGTGTAAAATTACTATACAATAGACTGAGGAAAAAAAGTTGTCCAAGAGAAACCCTAAAGAGAACGATGTTGAGAGAGGCCAAGGCTGCTGAACTGGATTCCATTCGTAGTATGGAAGGGATTGTACAGGCCAGAACAGATCAGCCTCCATTTACAAAAGAGTGTCAACTCTGGTACCCATTTCCTACAGGCTGGGTGAATCCCGCGAACCACGAGGTTTCGAACACCGACCGTGGGCGAGTCGCAGCTGGATTTGAAAGCGAATCTCCTATAGACTGAGCTAACGCGGCTCACAAGTATGCATGTTATGTACACACACATAAAAACTCAATTAAAAGAGAATTAAAGTGACAATTGCATGAGAATGTGCCTTGTCTGTATGGTGTAGAGATAGTGATTAGAATGAATGAATTGCCCGGCTCTCTAGCGTAGTTGGCTAAACCGGATTGCGCAGAGACCGGGTGACAAACTCCTTGTGGTCCGGGTTCACTATCGGGGGTAGGCAAAAAAGCCACATTTCTCCCAGATTTACAGTATTTACAATGGAATCAAGGCCGAAAGGTTGCGATATCCATAATACCGAGCCTAAGGGTTAACAAACTCATGGCTTCTGGATACTAAAACAAACAAACAAGCAATGAATGAATTAAATCAAGAATTGATATCATTGCACTCAGGACATTCCAACATGGGCTCCGTCCCCTTCGTCAGTAACTAATGAACAGTTATAAACAGTGCCAATAGTACTAGGTGGAACCTTATTATGTCCCCCTCAGTGCTGAATATCTTCCTGAATCTCCACTTAGCCCTGAGTTACTCTTTCTGTGTCCCCCGTGTGGGTTCCGGGGTCCTATTATAGGGAAAACAAGAACAGACCCACTGCCTACTCAGAAGCATGTCGTAAGAGTCGACTAATTGGGAGCTTCCTTCAAAGTCGGAGTGCATCTGCCCTAGATGCAAGGAACTAACAGTCTGCACACAAATGTGTCAGATCTGTCAAACGGATGCACACGCAACACTCAGGTTCTGGAACAGGACTGCAGTCCAGAAGTGACGAACAACCAGAACTTTCCACCAGACTTTACAGCTGGTGAATGCAAAGAAGAAGAAGACTCTGTGTAAGGATGTGTGGATTCTTCATCTGTTCTATTGCACTGCCCATTAGACAGTGAGTAATGAAGAGCCTGTGAGGAGTTCAAAATGTTAATTTATCACAATCAGAAATGCATAACATTAAACTTCTTCTTCTGCAGTCACCTTAGAAGGGTAGTCTGTTGTGTTGTAGTTTACAGCTAGGTTGCGAAATCTGCACATTTTGGCCCAAAACATCCGATTTCAGCAAATCCCTGGTAAGTGACCTTTTACAGCAGACCTGTTAACGGGGCAGTGAGTCTTTCCCAGGAGCCGCCATGGTGTAGCGGCTAGACGCTCGCCTCTGGATCCCAAAGTCACGGGTTCAATTTCCAACGAAGCCAGACATTTTTTTAAACATTACCTCAGCTTTGAGTTGATCCAGACTTAAATGAGTACCAGGTAAAGTCCTGGGAAGTAAAGGTGGTTGGCATGATGTTGATATCACCCACCCAGTGCCAACTGGCCTATAAAATAAAGGTTTTGCCCTATATGCCTGAAAGCATGGAAAAGGGTCTGTTACTTTACTCAGTGAGCCTGTCCCTCCCCCAATACGGCCTGGGAACCTATACGGAGAAGACTGAAAGTAATCTGAAAGACATATTTTACCACCATAAATGTGAATTCACGGACATAACAAGCTGCTCAACCTTTTTGATTTCATAAACTTTATACAACTTGAGATCGCATAAGGCACAAACAGAAGCAGTTTCGTCACCTGTATGTTAAGACACTGATGCTACAGATCGGGACAGATATGGTATCGCAGAGGTATTGTATAACTAGGCACCCTCCCAACACCTGTGATTGTCAAGAACTGGTCATACAGACGTCCAGTGGCGTAAGCATTTCCACCAGGTCTAGTCTCGATGACGGCTGGGAAGGTTATGTGCTGAACCCCGTGGTCATCCAGGTAGTCCCAGCCGATGTGCTCGTGGCCTGCAAAGATGGCAATGACACACTGGTACTGGCGGACAATGTCCATGACATCGTTGTAGTTCCAGGCCAGACATACAGAGCCATCCTTACACTGGCACTGCATGGCCACGTGGCCTAAAGTAAACAAAGATATGTTTTAAAAGTCTGCAAGTACACAGTGAAGGTTTAAATAACTCTTTGCTAAAGTTAGTTCACTGCAGAACCAACCCCAGCAGTTTTTGGGCAGCTGTTGTAGTTTTTCTAGGCAAATGTTATGTTCAGTAGTTTGCCATTGCTTCTGAATGATTGACTCTCCATATCACTGTGGAAACCAACACAAGGCGGTCTGCTGGTAAATTGCCCGCAGCTGGGATCAAACCTGACCCCCCCCCCAGTATTAAGAAGCGCATTGGCAACACTTAAGCCACAGATGCCAACAACTCTGGACAATCTGGGAGAAAAAATAAGTCTTCTTCTTATTCAAGCAATTATATAAAAGGGTTTGACATGTTTTAAATGCTTATATTGTTAGTCAAAGCGGCGTCAGTGGCTAAGGCGTTGCAAGTCGGACTCGTAATCCAACGTACCACGATCGAAACCTGCGCGGGCTGCGTGGATTTTTATTGTGGTATGGGACGTCGCAGGTCGACCCAGGCTCAAATGGGTACCAGGATGGGCTGTCCTGGGAAAGTAAAGATGGCCGGCGTAATGCTGACCACATTACCCACCGAGTGCCGATTGGTCTGTAAAAATATGGGTGCTCTTCCCATATGCCCGATGCGCCTAAGGGCGTGTAAAGGGATCTTTACTTTTTTACTTTACAAGTTAGTCAAGGTTCCAATATCACGACAGTCGGGTTGCCCCATAACTTGTGCCAGGAAAAATCAAACAAAATGTTCTTTACTATGCATTTCAAAACTAGGGGAAAACTTGTCAATCCCAGCAACATTATGAAGCTTGCACACGGGAAATAATATTGCACAAAGCAGCTGTCAGATGTGCCAACACTAACGGTCTCACATCAGAATTGCATCTCACAGTTTGTGCAAATCATCAATAACAATAGCCGGCATTGAGTTAGCAAAAGTACATGCCATTCTGAACGTAATCGGCCATCTGCCATGTTTAGTGGAGTCAACAACACCCTGCCGGCACAACAACAAAAAAACATATTCGACATGAAATTGACAGCTCACAGTGTCGCACCAAGTAGTGAACTCAGTTTTAGGCAATGGAACCACTGGACTCGTGATTCAGAAATGGAAAATTTGCATCAGCAAAATCTAGCTAGAAACAAATAATTTTTCAGAATGACAGGGGATTAATTTATAAACTGACGTTTCAACGGCGCCCCTGTTGACATGCATCAATGTATGCATTGATGGTCTGGTGGACTACCTCGCAGTAATTATGGAAGAAAATATCGGCTTTAAAACTAAATGCTACAGAATGATTCTCAGAATGTCATAGGCAGAAAAATTAAGAAAATATTGAACATCCTAAAAGATCAGAACATCAAGGAATATAGACTAGTAAAGAGAAACTGAAATATTTTAGCCATTCTAAGCACCATGGTGGGTTGGAAAGAAAAAAGAAGCAGAAGGCAGGGTACCAGCAAAGCAAGGCCGCCGACCAGCACAATTTTAGTGACACCTTTGGTAGGAAACTGCATGTGGCAGGAGAGCTGGCAAGGTGGCTGATGCACCGGAAGACTGAGTATGCATAGGAATTCCCAAGTGCAGCAATGTTGACTGTGATAACATACACAGAATGTACCACCAGGATCAGCGACAGAGAGCACTGCACATCTACTGGAGCCAACTTTGATTGTGGAGGTGGCACCTGATTAACTGACTTATTGATGATGTTACAGAAGTTTAACAGACATCACACTACTTGACTGATTGATTGTTAAATGATGTTAATGAAATATAACAGACATCACACTACTTACTGAAGATGATCACATTCTCTTGTTTGGTGTTGGCTTTCATCAAGATCTGGGACAACCACCTCAGCTGACTATCACTGACCCCACCATTGTAAGCCGCCCAGCGCCTCTCCAGCCCCTCCAGACCACAAATGTTGTTCACATCCTGGTTGTGATTATGCTCTTGGAACCACTTTTGTGCAGTTTTAAAATTCTCATCCTCTGTCCGATCACCGTAGCCCAGTAAACTGACCTCGTACGTATCTAAGGCAATGATTCTCAGCCTGGGGTGAGGCAGAGATGTGTAGTAGAAATGAGTGGAGCTTGTTTCGATGCTCAGTGACAGCGAGCTGTTGAGTGGGGAGCTGAGGTAAAATGACCGATTCAGATTGTACAACTCATGATTACCAATTACATGGTATACCGGGACATACAGGGAATTTAGGGGATGCAAAACCGTGTTCAGGGCTTTCTTCACAGCAATTTCACCTCCGTTTTTATTTTTGCCGTCAATCAAGTCACCCAACTGAAGGACAAATGCAACCGGGTCCACGCCAGATTTCCAGTCATTGACTGCATTTTTTAACAAGCTTAAGGAGTTGCGATAAAACCTCTCTCGGGTTTTGAGGAAGTTAGTTCCATCCTCACAGTCTGCATAGTGTATGTCAGAGATGATCCCAAAGGTCATGTGGGGCTTTTGGAGATCTGGTGGAGGCTCTGTAGACACCATGTTTCTGTAGGCAGGTTCATATATTTCTGTGAAGTACAAGAAAAATATTCAACAATTGTACTACTTCCATTTGCTGAACTGTTTCAACAGTGTATTCATAGATATCAAGTATGGACCCCCCCCCCCCCCCCCCCTTTCCCGTACATACAGTTCTGAACCCTAAAAAATCGTGGGAAGAACAAACAGTAAATATCCACAAGACCCCATCAGCAAACTCAACAGAAAGCAACATACAACAATTTTCTGTCTACGAACACGACACTGCAGACTCAACTTCCACATGCATAAAATAAACATTGTACAGTCCCCAGAGTGTGCCTGTCAAATAGGACCACAAACACCTGAGTAGAGTCTGCAGACCTGCCCACTTCACCTACTTCAAAAAGACACCTGGCCTCAAGAACAAAGTGTGCACAGCAAGCTATAAGAAACCATGAAGAACCTGCTACTGACATGCAAGTTCCTAGAGGCAACCCAACTGATGGTCTAATCTGAGCATACGAAACCAAATGCAAAGAAGAAGAACCCTTCAGTAAAACCACACAATCACTGGCATGATCTCTGACAGAGTAAATGATGGCATCGCAATCATTGGCATGATCTCTGAGAGAGTAAATGATGGCTTCACAATCACTGGTATGATCTCTGACAGAGTAAATGATGGCATCGCAAACATTGGCATGATCTCTGAGAGAGTAAATGATGGCTTCACAATCACTGGCATGATCTCTGACAGAGTAAATGATGGCATCGCAAACATTGGCATGATCTCTGACAGAGTAAATGATGGCTTTACAATCACTGGTATGATCTCTGACAGAGTAAATGATGGCCTCACAATCACTGGCATGATCTCTGACAGAGTAAATGATGGCTAAACAATCACTGGTATGATCTCTGACAGAGTAAATGATGGCCTCACAATCACTGGCATGATCTCTGACAGAGTAAATGATGGCTAAACAATCACTGGTATGATCTCTGACAGAGTAAATGATGGCCTCACAATCACTGGCATGATCTCTGACAGTGTAAATGATGGCCTCACAATCACTGGTATGATCTCTGACAGTGTAAATGATGGCCTCGCAATCACTGGCATGATCTCTGACAGAGTAAATGATGGCTTCACAATCACTGGTATGATCTCTGACAGTGTAAATGATGGCCTCACAATCACTGGTATGATCTATGACAGTGTAAATGATGGCCTCACAATCACTGGCATAATCTCTGACAGTGTAAATGATGGCCTCGCAATCACTGGCATGATCTCTGACAGAGTAAATGATGGCTTCACAATCACTGGTATGATCTCTGACAGTGTAAATGATGGCCTCACAATCACTGGCATGATCTCTGACAGAGTAAATGATGGTTAAACAATCACTGGTATGATCTCTGACAGAGTAAATGATGGCCTCACAATCACTGGCATGATCTCTGACAGTGTAAATGATGGCTTACAATCACTGGCATGATCTCTGACAGAGTAAATGATGGCATCGCAATCACTGGCATGATCTCTGACAGAGTAAATGATGGCCTCACAATCACTGGTATGATCTCTGACAGAGTAAATGATGGCCTCACAATCACTGGCATGATCTCTGACAGTGTAAATGATGGCCTCACAATCACTGGCATGATCTCTGACAGAGTAAATGATGGCCTCGCAATCACTGGCATGATCTCTGACAGAGTAAATGATGGCCTCGCAATCACTGGCATGATCTCTGACAGAGTAAATGATGGCCTCACAATCACTGGCATGATCTCTGACAGAGTAAATGATGGCCTCACAATCACTGGCATGATCTCTGACAGTGTAAATGATGGCCTCGCAATCACTGGCATGATCTCTGACAGAGTAAATGATGGCTTCACAATCACTGGTATGATCTCTGACAGTGTAAATGATGGCCTCACAATCACTGGCATGATCTCTGACAGAGTAAATGATGGCTAAACAATCACTGGTATGATCTCTGACAGAGTAAATGATGGCCTCACAATCACTGGCATGATCTCTGACAGAGTAAATGATGGCTAAACAATCACTGGAATGATCTCTGACAGAGTAAATGATGGCCTCACAATCACTGGCATGATCTCTGACAGTGTAAATGATGGCCTTACAATCACTGGCATGATCTCTGACAGAGTAAATGATGGCATCGCAATCACTGGCATGATCTCTGACAGAGTAAATGATGGCCTCACAATCACTGGTATGATCTCTGACAGAGTAAATGATGGCCTCACAATCACTGGCATGATCTCTGACAGTGTAAATGATGGCCTCACAATCACTGGCATGATCTCTGACAGAGTAAATGATGGCCTCGCAATCACTGGCATGATCTCTGACAGAGTAAATGATGGCCTCGCAATCACTGGCATGATCTCTGACAGAGTAAATGATGGCCTCACAATCACTGGCATGATCTCTGACAGAGTAAATGATGGCTTCACAATCACTGGCATGATCTCTGACAGAGTAAATGATGGCCTCACAATCACTGGTATGATCTCTGACAGAGTAAATGATGGCCTTACAATCACTGGCATGATCTCTGACAGAGTAAATGATGGCTAAACAATCACTGGTATGATCTCTGACAGAGTAAATGATGGCTAAACAATCACTGGTATGATCTCTGACAGAGTAAATGATGGCCTCACAATCACTGGCATGATCTCTGACAGTGTAAATGATGGCCTTACAATCACTGGCATGATCTCTGACAGAGTAAATGATGGCATCGCAATCACTGGCATGATCTCTGACAGAGTAAATGATGGCCTCACAATCACTGGTATGATCTCTGACAGAGTAAATGATGGCCTCACAATCACTGGCATGATCTCTGACAGTGTAAATGATGGCCTCACAATCACTGGCATGATCTCTGACAGTGTAAATGATGGCCTCACAATCACTGGCATGATCTCTGACAGAGTAAATGATGGCCTCGCAATCACTGGCATGATCTCTGACAGAGTAAATGATGGCCTCGCAATCACTGGCATGATCTCTGACAGAGTAAATGATGGCCTCACAATCACTGGCATGATCTCTGACAGAGTAAATGATGGCTTCACAATCACTGGCATGATCTCTGACAGAGTAAATGATGGCCTCACAATCACTGGTATGATCTCTGACAGAGTAAATGATGGCCTTACAATCACTGGCATGATCTCTGACAGAGTAAATGATGGCCTCACAGTCACTGCATGATCTCTGACAGTGTAAATGATGGCCTCACAATCACTGGCATGATCTCTGACAGTAAATGATGGCCTCGCAATCACTGGCATGATCTCTGACAGAGTAAATGATGGCCTCGCATGATCTCTGAAAATTCTGAACAGAAAACAATGTAAAAATAGATTACAAATTTATTTAATAAACAGAAAGTTAACTCAACGAAGATAGTGTACATAAAACAAGGAAAAGGTCAAGTCAACAAGGAGAATTTTGGAGTGAATAAGGAAAATAGGTAACTCAACAAAGACCAAATTATTTCTACCATCAAAAAGTTGTTAAAAAACAACAACTGTCAATTCAACAAGAAATATTTAGTTAAACAAACAAAAAACAAAATAAAAAAACAAAAAAGTGATGTCAACAAAGAAAAGTGTTTTCAACAAGGTGCAATTTAAAGTTTACAAGAAAGAAAAAAGTTAACCGTACATTGATACCATTGAAGTGGAGAAAGATCTGTAAGTTTAGATGTTAATACAGTTGCCGTCATTACTTTTTGTTATCATGGCATTAGTTTTATCTGAAAACGATTTGTGAAAATGATTAATATCCACAGAGACAAACACTAAAACAAATTAGAACTGTCAAATGTCATTATGCACTAATATGTGGTACAGAAACCTGGAAGATAAACAATTAGACAGACAAATCTTTGGAGATGCACAGGGGGTTGGGGGGGGGGGTGCGGAGATTATGTCAGTGAATTCAATAGTGTGCCTGCTCTATCCAACAAGGAGTTGCTGATGACTGACGTAACATACCAGAAGAGATCAAACTATTAGAAGCAATTACATAAAACATAACAAATGGCAGGGAAAACATAACAAATGGCAGGGAAACCACTCCAGCGTCACACCAACTCTATCCAACAGGAGATGGGAGCTGACTGATGTAATGTAACATATCAGGGTAGATAAAAGCAAATACATAAAGAATTATATCAGGGAACCTAGTATTATGCCTAGCTCACACTGGGCAACAAGGAGATGAGTGTAGTTGATGTTACAGACCAGGGGAGATTAAAGCAATGACTTGAAACATATTATGTCCGTGAACTCGGTATATTAGTATTAGGGGCTATTGTGCCTAGACAACAAGGAGATGAGGTGGGCGACTAATGTAACGTACCAGAATATATTTTAAAACATCGACGTGAAACAAACAAACTGTGTCAGAAACCTCAATGCATTATTAATATTACTGTAGCCTCTGAGATCTCAATAATATATTGTGTCCCCGGACAACAACAAGAGATGAGGCTGAGGGCGTGAGGGTGACGACAGTGATTGGTGATTGGTGTAACCGTGTTGTGTAACGTACCATTAAAGCGACGACATGAAACAAACAAATTATGTCAGTGAACTCAGCATATTATTATTGTGTCTCTAGACAACAAGAAGATGATGGAGGCGTGACTGATACATAACAACGTACCAGGAGAGATAAAAACAACGACGTGACACAAAACGATGACATTGGCACCAGGTTGTGTTGACAACACCAGTCCGCCTCAGAGTGACTTCCCTTGTCTCCCATACAAAATATAAACCACTGGAGGAAAGAGAGCGCTGCGACGCAACAAAACAAATACGTTTCAAAGTCGGCAAAATATTTAAACTTCGGTTTTCAGTTAACAATTATCTAATCCTTGAGTACCAGGGTTTCTGCGTAAGACGGTTTATTGTTTAAAGCTATTCTTGTGTTATTCGGACTGTAGTACGAGAGCTTC